AACTCAAAATAGTAACGCTTTTTTTTACATTTATATGATCATCACTTAATTTATTTATAGCTGATAAAAGCTTTTACTATTATTCACATTTGAATATTTCTAACATTTTGCTCTCAAGTATGAGGTTCAACATTATGCTTCTATTAAGGACAACTTTTATAAAAGTTTTTTCTCTTTAAATATTAGAGTCACACAAACTTTATATGTAGGCATTAAACATCACAATCTTCAAGTATTTGGCCCAATTTTTTTATTAACGAGACAAATGACAAACCAAAATAAGTTAACTAATACCATAATTTAATTCAAAATCTTAAAGCTTTGAATTTATAGATATTTTTATATTTATATGATCATCACTTGGTTCATTTCTAACTAACACAAACTTTATCACTACATACATTTTCTAACCATAATATCGTAATATAAAATATAGTTTTATTGTCAATACATATGAATTAAATTAAAATTAATATTCGTATATAAGAAAAAAAAATATAATATTTATGATTTCAAAATGTGATATTATTTTAAATCTAATTTATATATTTTACTGTACAAATTCTATATGTGATCTTATTTTAAATCTAATTTATATATTTTACTGTACAAAAAATTCAATAGACAATTTTAATTAAAATTAACTTAAGAAAAACATTACATGTAAGAATTAAAATATGTTTTAACATTTTAATAATTTATAAGATTTTAATAAACAAAATGAAAAGAAATTTAAAAAGAATAATATTTAAGAAAAGTTAAATTAAATAAAAAAAGCTGTTAAAATAACAGCTTATTAAGTTGGGGTAACAATAAAAAACCCCCAAATCCAATACACCGAGAAAAAGAATAGAACAAGCGGAAATAAGAAAGCAATTGTTAAAATTTGCTCGACGAAATCAGTGATGTAGAAGATGGAACCTTGTACCGTCATGGAAAGGAAGGTCTGTGAGACTGTGAGGAATATGCTCGGGAGAAAATACAGTGTGCCTAAGACGAAAGGAACAAAAAACAGTAACAATAATAATAAATTAATAATAACAAATATAATAATATAATGCTGTCAACCTCGAGGAATTACTCTCCCTTTTGCTTCCAATCAAAGGTTTAGTGATTGAAACTTAATTAAGAACCTAATCCTTTCGCTCCCAAATAATAGATAGAGCGGGGTAGAAGCGTAATAGGAAGAACGTTTCTTTCTTTATACGCAACCCTCTGTACTCGCATAGATCGTCACCATGCGTTACTCACTCATTATCCAGCGAATATATATCGTATATTATATAAATATTTTTTAAATTTTAATAATTTTTATAAAATTTAAAAATGGTAAGTATTTCATTTTTCCTGAAATTATAAAAAACGCTATTAATTTGAGAATTTGAGAATAATTTAAACAGTATAAATTTTAATTAATTTAAGAACATTTAAAATCAAAAAAGAGAAAGGTTATATTTACAATCTATTTTCATTTACAATCTCTTACAATCATATTTTAAATGTTGATTTTCGCCAGTCATCGATTATTATTTATTATAAATTAATAATTAATTAATGAATTTGATTTAGGAAAATAATAATCGTTGATTGACGAAAATCAACAGTTAAGATATAATTATAAAATATTATAAACAAAAATCAATTGTAAGTATAATTCAAAATCAACAGTTAAGATATAATTATAAAACATTATAAACAAAAATAGATTGTAAGTATAATTTTTTTTAAAAAAAATATTATTTTTTAAGAGTGATTAAATTTTTTTTTAAAAATATTTCAATCGATTAATCGCTTCGTGACTAGTCCGATTCGGAATGAGTCTAAAATTAAGACTTTAAATCTTTTATAAAAATAATATTAAAGAGAATCAAACAGATACTCTTAGCCGACCTATTCAACCTATTTTGAACGAATTTTAATTGGAATGCAAATTAGCTGATTAAAAATATTATAAGTTATAGCATGACAAATGATCAGCCTGTGGCTTATCAACAAAAAAAACCTGTGGCCCTAAATTTAAAGACGGTCTCGAGTGAATAATTTATCACATAATTTAACATATAGTGTTATGTCGCTAGTTGTTGAACTTTCGGAATGATAATAATATAATACAACGCAGGAGATAAATAATCACCCACTTTGTAAAGTTTTATCCACACATTTGTTAAATTCTGTGGTATGGTTCTAAAATGAACGAGACAGCTATCAGTACAGTGACCACAGAAAGCCATTATTTCGAGAACAATAAATTATTATTATTATTATAGCGACACAACAACCACTAAGTACGAGAAGTTTCTAAGATTTCAATTTTAATATATATATGATAAAACACCCCATTTTAAATTTATATCCCTAGCTTCATTTGGAATGAATAGGAGCCCAATTTATTTTCCCCGCTAGGGAGGAGGGGTTACAAAGAATATTTTTAAAATTAAACTAGTAATAACTAGATATACATTTTACAACTAAATAGTATATTATTAAATATATTAAACTATATTATATGGTATGAAAAATAAAAAATTAATAATATATAATGCTTCTTCAGTAATATCATTTGAAGTAAAATAAAAAAATAATTATTACATTATTTAACACTTCAAAATTTTATATTAGATTGTCATCAATATAACCAACAATATAACAAACAAAAACTAAGAAATTATAACCTGTAGTCTTGAGTTCGAGTAGTACAGAGAACATTGTCGTTCTTGTGATTCTACCCAACTTGAATTGAATTAATAGAATAATTATCGAACGACCAGAGAAATTTTCCAAATATATGTTAAAAGACTATGTCAACAACCATTGTGGTAAATAGATTGTTCTTTTACCGATAACAATTAGTTTAAGTGGCAAAAAAACTTATTTCTCGTAAATACAGGCTTCAAGTTCAAGTATTATGAATGAAAAAAATAATGATGGAAGAATCGCCACACCAACATATGTAATTTTTTCCTGATTCTCATATGTAGATCTTTATAGTTTGGTAGAGGTCTTATTTACTTCAAAAATTATTATTATTTAGTCAAATGAAAATTAAAAGGCTTAAGTTTGTTCACTACTGATTTTGAATCAGTTTAACTGAATTTTCACTCAATATTTTGCTCATCAAATTTTGTAAGTTAAACCAACTGAACGTCTAACTCATATACTAATTTAGTAATGGAAAATTATACTATCATATCATCATTTTTAATATTACACTTACATAAAAAAATGTGTTTTTTTCTTTAAATTGATAGATCTCACTTTATTTGTCTTGCAGCATAACATAATTTCTCTCCTATTACATGATAGAGGTAAAACCCTTTATTAATATAGTGAAAATTAGCAATCCGCTAAACAATCAAATCGATCCACTCTCTCAAGAGGAAAGCATTATAAGAATTAGCAAAAGATGTCCTTGAGCAGCCTAGCCATTTTGTGTAAGCGTTTCTTTTCAATTTAAAGCCACAAAACAAAACAACGATATAATGGCGAAAGGAGGGCCCTGCCACCCAAAATCTGCCTGGAGGTGATGCTTCTCTAATCCGTGGCCTTTGCCAGAGTAGCATGACGAAGAAAAATTGTAAAAGATTCTCAAATTTTTGGCTCACAATTCACAAATCGTAGTGATCAAGAACCGTTTGTTTTTATTTATGTTATCCAGACAAGTCATTGAGACTAATCAAGGTACTAAACAAATGCATATTAGGTAATACAATTGATATGATAAAGCTCCAAGAATATTCAAATTGTTTCTTATGCTTTTGGCTAACAACTTTTGCTATCTCTGCGTACGTATTACTTAAAGAAAGATGCTATTATCCAATTAAAAAAAAAGGTTTTATAAGAGTTATGTTGTAGGAAAAGTGATTATGTTATGTTATAGAGATTCTTTTTGCGTGCCGAAGTTTTTTTTTGCTGCGGGTCCAACAATATGTTGTGTGTGTAGGAAATTTTTTGTGATCATGTTAAATGACAGATGATAAACCCTTAAAAAAATTAAAAGCTACCGTTATATTTATGGCCTCTTAACAGTGTATAGACTTAATGATTGTCTCATCCAGCCGAATAGAAACAAAATAGAGGGAAAAGTTCAGCATGCTTGGTTCAAGAAGAGAGGTAAATGAGTAATTCCAGTTGAGAATTAACATTTAATAATGGGCCTGAGATTAGTTAATTGCTGACAGCCATGTGCCGACCATGTTTTACAAATGATTTCGCAAAATGAAAAGAAATAAATGTTCGTAAATAATAACGGACATAAAAACCTCGTTTATGTTTTTTATTTTTTATTTTTTTTCGTTAGAGAACCTTGTATATCCTATAATTGATAATATATTTCAATTTCTTTTTAGCCTCTGGAGCCTTTACCATGCCATGAGAAGTCCACTCCATATTAGGGTTGCTTTTCAAAATAACATCATATTACCGTAAAAAATATAATTTTTAATATAAATTATGCGTGGCTTAATTGAGCAAAAACACAATAGGAGAAAAAAAACTGTTGACACCTGACAGCAGTACTAGCTAGCAGACTACTCTGTGAGGAGAATTTGCGTGTCGGTTTTTAATTCTTCAATGAACTTTGCAATGCATGGTGCAATCTCTGGTGACACGTGTCAATTTGGAGGCGCAAGTTCAACATGATATCTCGAACAATCTTGACAATCAGCACCGCCCAACAGCAACCCAGCCAAAGAACACGTGGAATTTGGAACCCATAGACATCAACACACAACACTTTTACCGTCCCAATTTCCGTTTGTTTTTTTGTTTTTTCAAACTACAGTGATCCACGTTCCAGTGGTGCGCGGAACATGGTCGGTCTTATAGTAATGGTTAGAATCAAGCCAGCTAGGATAGACTCCCCATTAATCATTGGTCCTCACTCCTTATCAATGAAACATTAAAAAATTCAACATATTACGTTGCATTGGACCCACCAGCCCTCGTCCTCACTCCAATTAACTGAACTCAATTCTGATTATAAATCCGCACCTTAGCCACTCACAAAACCCACTGACACAAGAGACAGAGGAATCAAAGGGAACAAAGAAATGGAAGGGAAAGAGCAAGACGTTTCGTTGGGAGCCAACAAGTTTCCGGAGAGGCAGCCTATCGGTACGGCGGCTCAGAGCCAGGACGACGAAGGCAAGGACTACCAGGAGCCACCACCGGCGCCGTTGTTTGAGCCCTCCGAGCTAACATCATGGTCCTTCTACAGAGCTGGTATAGCAGAGTTCGTAGCCACTTTTCTGTTCCTCTACATCACCATCTTGACCGTCATGGGCGTCAGCAAGTCCGACTCCAAGTGCAAATCTGTCGGTATTCAAGGGATCGCTTGGTCTTTCGGTGGCATGATCTTCGCCCTCGTTTACTGCACCGCTGGAATCTCAGGTCCCTCTCTTTCTATTTTTTATTTCCATTTCTGCAAAAAAAATAGAAAAAAATAACAAATATGAACTGAAACCAGTGTTTTAACAACGTTGCTGTAACATTTGTGTGTTTTTGGTGCAGGGGGTCACATAAACCCGGCCGTGACGTTTGGTTTGTTCTTGGCGAGGAAGTTGTCGTTGACTAGAGCGGTGTTCTATATGGTGATGCAGGTCCTGGGTGCTATCTGTGGCGCCGGTGTGGTTAAGGGTTTTGAGGGAAAAGTCACGTACGGCCTGAAAAACGGTGGTGCTAACTTTGTAGCCCCTGGTTACACCAAAGGTGACGGGCTTGGTGCTGAGATTGTTGGCACCTTTATTCTTGTCTACACCGTCTTCTCAGCCACCGATGCTAAGCGTAGCGCCAGAGACTCTCATGTTCCTGTAAGTCACTCACTCCTCTCACGTCCTTTTTCTCTTCTTATTGTAGTGTTTATTTTTATTATTATTTTTAAAAAAATAACTTTAATTTGATGAACTAATCGTGTGGCTTGGATTTAATGTGCAGATTTTGGCACCCTTGCCTATTGGGTTCGCTGTGTTCTTGGTTCACTTGGCCACCATCCCCATCACCGGAACCGGTATTAACCCTGCTCGCAGTCTCGGTGCTGCCATCGTCTTCAACAAACACCTTGGCTGGCATGATCACGTACGTTAATAATTTTCCTTTCTACTAAATATTTTTATCAAATTTTACAATGAACCACAACCGTCTGATCTCTCATGCTAATTGATATTATCACAATTTGTGCAGTGGATCTTCTGGGTGGGACCATTCATCGGAGCAGCTCTTGCAGCTCTCTACCATGTAGTCGTAATCCGAGCCATTCCCTTCAAGTCCAAGTGATTGAATCAAACGGTTCATGATCAATCAATCTAGTTGGGAGAACTAAAATCAAGCCATGTTTGTGGGTTTCGTTTCATCATCATGATCTGTTTTATCTTTATCTTTTTTTTTTTTTTAATTTTATTTTAAAGTCTTGTATTTTGTATGTAAAGATCATTATGTAAAATTGTGATGATTATTATTAGGTGGGTGCATGTGTCGCGTCATGGGCCATATCCTCTGCTTTTAAGTTGGAAGAGGGCCCAGCTCATGTGTGATGTACGGCTGTGATTGTGTATTTTCCAAATCAAAAATAACATCCTAGTCATTTCTGCATTTTTTTATTTCCTATACCAATCTTGTCCTCACTGTTAATATTTGTCCTCTTCCCCGGAGTATATGCCAAGGTTCGGTTTCTTTACCCACGCCTGTGCCCTTGTTATCACTTGTTATGGATATCGAAATCAGGGGCGTGACCTTGAGGGAATGGGTTGGTTGCGTGGGGTGTGGTATGATGTGGTGGGTGATGTTACCTAACCTGGGACCACTTCCTTTATCAATAATGCACATCCTGTTGTCGGATTAATGATGATTTGTCATCATAGTCTTGAGAAAAACCACATACTAATTTTGTTTTTGTCCTTAATCGAAAAAGGAAAAGCTTGATTTATTAAATACTGTTATTGATAACCCTTAAGAAGATGCGGGTACTCATGGGATGTGTAGCAATTCATGGGATGGGTATCAAATTATAGGTTAGGTAAGAAAACATGGATTACATGACGTGTATAAATCGGAGACTCATTCGTGATAATGTTATTTTTTGTGTGTGATTGAGCATTTTTTCTTTTTTCTTTTAATTATCGTGAACGCAACTAATATAATTGATTTCTGATTTGCTAACCGAATGTGAGTGATGTTATTGAACCGATGATACAAACAAATTCAACAAGTAAGGGTGAAAAGAGTTTGGCCATTGAATCATCTTTTTACTGAACATTCAACATCACATGTTGCAATTTCCATAGATCCAATGACTAGCATAAAAACTCTATGTTGTGTGTCAATTTTAAAAATAATGCACATCCGAAGTAGCGAAAACAAAATAGACACATGTAAGAATTGATATACATCACCCTAAAAGTTAACTCAAAGGATGGAAGTGCCCAAGGCCTTATAAAGGTCACATTAGTTGTACATACAATCAATGTGGGATTATATATCTCAATACACCCTCTCACGCAAGAGCTCTTTGGGCTTGAAGCGTGAATTATGCACAGGCCCAATTTTTAGTTTACTTTTTGTGCTTTTATTTTAATTCTAATTTAAAGTGGGACGGCGAGGATCAAACCTGAAGCTTTGATACCATTTAAGAACCTTCAGATAACACAAAAATCAATATCTATCCCTAAACAAATGTTTCCACTCAGAGTGTAGGGAATAGAAGTGACACAATCTAATCATTTTCACCAAAGAAAGGCACGAGGAATATATTTAAAACAACATGCATAATACAAACGGCGTGTTATTTCCACTTAGCATGTGATCGGGTGAATACCAATTTAACTTAAAAATATAAAAATGTTAATAGTATTAATTTGGGGGTAGAATCAATTTAAAGAATAAGAAATTTTATGTTCAATCTTTGTATACAATAATTTATATCTTTAATAAATTAAATAAGTTAAATATGAATAAGATTAATGATTAGTATTGATTGATTAAGATAAATGATCCCGCCTCATTTATACATGTTTAAATGATTATTTCCTTTCATTTTATTTCCTTTTATTTTTATTGTATAATGATGTTTTTTTTAACATGAATTACAAAACTAATCACTGGCTCGCTTATATTATTATTTTTTCATCGGCAAACTCACATAGTTGGTGAACATGATAAAATAAATAAATAAATAAATGATAATATTTCTAACTACAGCACATGGCCATCACAATCACTAAACCAACCCACAATATTAATAGTTATTATGATTTTATTCTCCTCTTTTTGGTCCCAAATCATCCACTGTGTGCAACATAAAGATATAAATTTAATTGGCATGAAAAAGAAAGGAGAGTTTTATGCCTACGTTCATTAATATGTTGACAAATTTTTCTATTAATTTTTTTAAATATCTTGTCGAAATAATCATTTATTGCCTTTTTGTAATTATTAAGCAAATGAGGTAATAATAAATAATGATGTGCAAACATATTAGTAGAATTAATATAATTTTTTTTTACTGCATCAGGTAAATCAATTAAACTCAAGAATCAAACTTACCAAATTTGAAACAAAAACAAGTTTGAAGATGTAATTCCTCATTCCGAAAATAACACTCTACCGTGACACCAAAAAATTTCAAATTCCACCTAGAAAGAGTATGTATCCTGTGGATAGGATATTCAAAACGGTCCTCACCCCATCCTCTCTCGCTGGCATACTCACCCTTTCGCTTTTGCGCACCTGGCTTAATTTGTCTTGTAGTTTCTTTTGCTTCTGTTGATTTTAGTTTCTGAGTTGTTTTTTTGTTCCTTTGTTTAACTTTCAAATTTAACTGTTTTCCTCCTAAAACCTAAAGCATTCCCGCATCTTTTTGTCAGTATTCTGTTTCATCGTATGGCTAAAAGAGTATACGAGAACTCATTGTTATTATGGGATGGATTGCAACAATTAGAGAATTCTAGGTGCTCACATGACATGACATATCTGCCCATAACCTAAAATTTGGAAGAGGAAACAAGTTTTTCTATATCATGGAGGGAATGATTTATATATCACGGTTTATTTATAATTGAAAACATGCGTTAAGAAATAATAAAGTATAACTAAAATGCTGCTGGTGCAGAAAATTATAAACAATTTGTTGTTTAATTGCTGGTATTATATAATGGCTGCGCTAGAAATTTTTATGAGAGGGAGCAAAAAAAATTCAAAGTTCACATTGATTTAGGCTGCGCAACACAATAGTGGGTCAATACGAATTCAGGTTTGAAGAATTTTTCAATTTTTTTTGGTACATGAGAAATAATAAGAAGAACGAATGGAGACAAATTTATATTAATTTTTTTTTTTAAGTTTGAATATTGTTCCGGGTTACTTAATCCGGGTAGACCCATCAAATTACTCTGAGTTCATTAATTTGGGTAGGCCCATCAATGTTATAACTTATGTTGCACCGACACCGACACGGGACACAGACACGACGTGCCGACAAATTCATTTTAAAAAATGCCATATTTTAACACGTTAGTATACGTTTTGATATTAAATAATATTTTTAATATATATAATATATATATATATATATATATATATATATATATATATATAGTACATATAATAGTCCATATATATCCAATCAAATATTCAAATTTCATGACATAAATATAAAGCAAAAATAGTTTTTCATACCTTGTTAATTTTTTATGTCCAATTCCATAATAGGAAAAAAAAAATTGACTTATAAATTAATTTTTCATTTTTACATAATAAAATAAAATTTAGACCTAAAAAAAAAAAACGTGTCGGAGCGTTGTCTCTGTGTTGAAAAAAGTTGATCGCGTGTCTTAAAATGTTGATCCCGTGTTAGACGCGTGTTGGTGTTCGACACACATTTTTTTTTTTAAAAAGCGTGTCGGTGTTTTCTTGGTTATAACCCAAGCATTGGTCCAAGACCTTCTTACATGAAGTAACACATATAACAACGATCATGAGCTCGGATTATGAGACTAGGGCGAGAGCTTGGATCACGAATTTAAACCCACAATCTTTTCCCACTTTGTAATACTAAAGTCACGATCTATGTAACTGTCACAATCATCTCTCGTCACTACGAAAACTGCTTCACACTCATTATCAATAACAACTTATAGGAACCGTTATAAATATAATGATAATACCAATAAAAAAGATTTTATGTTGATCAGACTCACTCACTCGTGCTAAGCAGACATAGTTAATCATAGCCCTAACCTATTGTTGGTGTTGTCCATGAACAATTATAGCTTAAGATAAAATGTTTGATAAATTAGATACCCCCTCCCGATACAACTGTTGCTCCCCCACCGGTATTACCCTTGATTATTTGAACAACTTGACTTATTTAGGACAAAGATTCTTTTATGAACACGATGTTGGTCATGAAAAGAAAAACATTTGGGTTTAGGGTTTGGGTCAAATTTTGGATACCCATTATTCTGGTTCCTGTAACAAAATAAAACGAAACAAACGATACAGTTTATTTGGGCCTAAGTTGGCCCATGTCCAAAACCCTAGCATTTTTGTTTAGCCCACGACCCATGAGTAGGAGTCCGTGTGCTGTCTTGCTCGCAAGCCTTGCTTGGTGAGTGTGAACCTGCCGAATCGAAGCTCCGAGCATGGCGGCGAGCGAGCGCACAGTGTTGCAGTTCTCTTCTTCTTCTTCTTCTTCGCAGAGTTTGTCCGCAAAGGTCCACCCTCTGGTTATCTTCAACATCTGCGATTGCTATGTTCGACGTCCTGATCAAGCGGAGCGCGTCATCGGAACACTACTTGGTTCCAATCTCCCCGACGGAACGGTCGATATCCGTAATTCCTATGCTGTTCCGCACAATGAGTCTGTCGATCAGGTCTTAGTTTTCATCTTCATCTTAATGATATTTGAATCACATATTTCTCTTGTAATTCTCAAAAAAAAAAAAAAAGAGGAAAAAAAAATATCTGTTCTAATTTTTAATATTCTTTTGCTACAGGTTGCTTTGGATATTGAGTACCACCACAATATGTTAATATCTCACCAAAAAGTTAATCCTAAGGAAATCATAGTTGGATGGTATGTTGAATTCTTTTAAACTAGGTTATTATTTCAAAGTACTACATATTTTATTCACAATGGTGTGTTGATAGAATTTTGAAGTCCATTAGTGCTCTTTGTTTGTTGAGCATGGTGCATTTGTGTGAAATGGAATCATAGAACTTTCCCTCAATGTTTGTTTTAAACGTTCACATTCTTGAAGTCCTAGTGGATTTTAGCTAGTGATTTTGTTAATGGAGCTTCAATGATTGCTATGCAAAGGACTGTAGTTCGCATGTTAGCTAATTTATTTCTTCTTCTATATCTTTTCACTTTTATGTTCTTAGGAGGATGTCGTATACCTGTTTCCATATCTCCTTTTCACGCAAAATAAGCAAGGCTAACTTTGGTTACTTCATGCAGGTATTCAACTGGTCTTGGAGTAACTGGTGGCAGTGCATTAATCCATGAATTTTATTCTCGAGAAGTAACCAATCCTATACATTTGACTGTTGATACGGGATTTACAACTGGAGAGGGTATCATAAAAGCATATGTTTCAAACAATTTATCTCTTGGAGACAGGCAAATTGCTGCACAGTTTCAAGAGATTCCTTTGGATCTTCGTATGGTTGAAGCTGAGCGTATTGGATGTATGTATGGATTGGACTTCATCTTTATTATATTTCTGTCATCTTTTATAAAGCTCTTTTTTTTTTTTTTTCTTTCTTGGTTAAATTACGTGCAATAGCTTATGTGTTTGCTTTCATCAATTCATGGATGCATCTGCAGAGAGAACTGCTTTAAATTTCCTTTTGCTTAATCAATGGCTGATATTTCTGTAGGTTGAATTTTAAAGAATATCATGACTGGTAAGAAGTATTTGGACATAATGACATGGTTTTTGCTCTTAATTGTGTAATCTCATTACCCATAGACTCTTGCAAAAGGACTGATATAAACTCTAGCGCATGTATATCCCTACTCCCTAGACTCTGCTAAAAGCACATAATCAGTGGCTGATATTTCTCTAGCGTATGTAATCAGCATTCATTAATCTAATTTTTCATGGCAATTCCTGCAAGTAATGAATATAATTGTCTGTTAGAGTTGTTGACATTTACAAAGAGAGTGAGACAGGGGGAAATGGGGATCACAAGATAGCCCAGTGACACTGTTACATATTTCTTAGCTGCCGCTTAGAAAGCCTCTTTTTGACCTAAGTTCCCGAGTACACCATTTCACTGAATCATAGTTGTTAGTATCTCACTGTACATACATTACGATATGATACAGAAGCTTAGCGATACATATCGGTTGCCTGTATTGGAATTGATATCAACCGTGCATCGTATCACAATTTACGATTCTAAAATCAAATCAAGATTTTCAATTTCTAGTTAAAAAAAGAATCTGAAAAGACACTATTAATTAGGGAAAGGAAACAGAGATATAATTTGTGATTCAAATTGAAAACTGGATCTGAAAAGTCACAATTAGTTAGGAAAACCATCAAACAATTATTCAAATTAATACAAATCTCTTCAGGCTTAAAAAAAAAAGAGAGTTGCGCACAAGAAAACAGAGTCTCTAAGAGAAGTTTTCACAGAGCTATAGTACAGAGTACAGACAAAAGGTGAGAAATTGGAGACTTAAAATACTATTTATATGACATTTTATATTTTTAAATTATTTTTATTATGTTTGTTTGTGAATCTTGCGAATTGATACGATTCACGATATACGTACCAAAGAAACAGCCCAATGATACATGATACATATTACGATTCAACAACCTTTCATTGGATAGACTAGTTCTTCTGGATAAGCCAATTGCCTATTTCTTTTCAGGGTAATTTGTTTTACAGACCGTTTTCTTTCTGTTTCTTATTTGTGAAATCTGGGGTGTTCTTCCAGAGGTTGCTAATAGCTATACAAAATTTAGTTGTAGAAGATCTTGTTACTTGTTGCACCTTGATCATGACCAAAAGGCAATCTGTATTCCTATTTGTATTTGGGGACATTGTTGTGACTTTTTCCTTATCTCATGTGAGATGATTCCAAGAAAGCGGAACATTGTGATCTGCTTTCTTGAGTATTGTGTTTGGCTGTGTCCTAAGTCCTTGGACCAGTTTTTGATGACTAGTTTGACTGGTTTCGGAAGAAGTAAATAAGCTAAATTTTTGTGGCAATTTGCAATAATTATTACACTTTGGTGCATTTTTTAGGATATCTCTTCGGATAATTTCTTCTTTAGGATAAGATTAGGCTTTGGGTTCCATATGGTGTAAAGCATGTGGTCTTTTTTAGAGGGGTGTCCGCTACAGCTATGTTGAGGGATTGGATAGCTTTGGGAGGATTTGTTACCTTTCCCTTCTTAGTGTTGATAATTTTTTTCTTTTATAGGAAAAAAAAGTTTGGGGTCTGCAGGGTGATGCCTAGTTGAAAGACTGGTTGAGGTTCATACGGAACAGAACTATAGTATTATATTTATAGTCAAGGTTGTTCATTTTTATATCATAGAAGAAAGCTCTTTGACTTTTATGTGAGATTTTTCCCATTTTTACTTGTCTATCACTAGTGTATGATGAATATAATTTTTGGTTTATTGATTTTTTTCTCTTTCTTTATAAACCTATCATAAGTAATTTATATGCTTATCTTTGAGATACCAATACTGGAAAACGTGATCTTCTTTAACTTGAATAATTTAAAGGCTTGATTGCGTGTTAATTCTGGTGACGACAGTTGGTACTCTGAAGGCAACTGCTGTTGACAAAATCCCATCTGATTTAGAAGGGATGGAAGCATCAATGGAACATCTATTAGCCTTGATTGACGACATCTACAAATATGTTGATGATGTTGTGGTATGCTGGCATTGCTTTCTCTAGTCATTCTTGCCATGTGTTTTTTTGAGATTGTATTCATCTTTTTATTTTTATTTTCATTTCAGGAAGGGCGTGTTGATGCAGACAACAAAATTGGGAGATTTATATCAGATGCTGTAGGTTCCCTTCCTAAAATGTCCTCATCAGCTTTTGATAAGCTTGTGAATGACAGCTTGCAGGTAATATTAGGTTTTGGGTCATGCATTTTTATGGTCACTACAAAAAATGCGACGGCTTTTACTTAGGTCAACAATTCATGAAATACTTAATTTTTGCCTTCAAACCAGTTTGCCATGTTGTTGGCTTATGAATTATTCTCAGGTTTTTTGGGCTGACAAGAGTGTTTCATCCTTTTCAGGATCACTTGCTCTTGCTATATTTATCAAGCATCACACGGACACAGCTTACCCTGGCCGAAAAATTGAACACGGCTGCTCAGATTCTGTGAAGCAGTCTGTCCATGAATAAATGCAATTTTGTCTATGGAAGTTACCTTCTTGTGATATTTCCCCGAACTTGGGAATTCAGTATTTTATAATTTTTTGCTTAATATTGCATTTAGTAAATTCACTTTTTATTAAAATTAAAATTAAAAACAAAAATATATTTATTCCATCAATTTTTTTTTTTTTTTAACGTTTCGAAGGTGAATTTTTTTATACCTAAGTTGATCTATACACGAACTTCTTTATTTTTACGTTTCAAGTTTTTTTTTTTTTAATCTAAGTCAACCTATACATGGTGTAAAATTGCATGAATGGTCCATTTTGTCCCATGAACACGGAAAATGAAACGTCAGATCCTCATACACTCATAAAGGTTAAATATTAGATTTTCATATTTATGTTAAATTGAAGTTCGAAATAATTGAAAAGGAAAAAAAAAAACGAATTATATATTGTGATGGTATGATATATTTTCATTTATAAATCAAAATCTGATATATTTAGATAAAAAAATTCATAAAGGAAGTAAGAGATGAAAAACATTAAGAGATAAATGATATGCAGTAAAAAATTTAAGAGAGAAGTGATTTTGAAGTAAATAACAATTGAGGTATTTAAATTTCAACTTTTTTTTAATAATTGACGTATCTTTAGTGGGAAAGCATGCACGATAACAGTACTGAAAATTTACACAAACAATGTGTATTGAAAATTTACTTAAATTTTTTTACCAAAATATAAAATTTACTTAAAAAAGATCGAGGTAATAAAGCACTTCATCAAAGCAAAACCTAGCTTAAAAATAGTTAAAATACCAATGAAATTTATTCAGTCCTCTCGTTCCCCTTCATGTCCGTGATGCAAATTTTTATTTTATTTCCTTTCATCATTCGAATCCATTCAGGGATTTCGTGCCTGTTCAATAAATTATTTTATTAAAACAGTTATTTGGAATCAATCTTGACGGTAATAATGACAGATGCCTCTCCTTCTTCATAGTTGTTCTTGTCGTCTATTCCCTTCGTTAACTAAACCGGTATTATCTCATCGACAGTAATTAAAATAATGAAAATAGGGTTTCGGCAAAATAAAAGAAGAAGAAAACAGTTTTAACATGTAATGTTGGGATATATAGTCCTGCATTGGTTGTATGTGCAATTAATGTGGAGTTGGGCACTTTCACTATTTAAGGCTTTTGGGCGGTGTATCTCAAAGTTCTTTGGCATCGTTGTTGTTAACAGTTTTATAGACCAGAGAATCAACGGTTGCAATTATAGACCTTCAATTCATGACATTATTTAACAATTATTCGGTTGGTAATTAAAAAAGCAAAATCGGATTTGTAGAACTAGACGCTCAGCACGCGCTTAGAACTAACTGTCCACAGATTTTGAGCTAGTTTGCACTATTTATTCTTCTTAGTATCTGGATTCTGGGGAATGTCTGCATTATCTTTTCTTATGATCATATAAGAAAAAAAACCATTGTCTTTATTATGATGTTCTCATAATGAGATTCAAATCAGTGGCGGAGCAAATGGGTATAATCTCGCCTCGCGCTAAATTTTAACAACTTATACTTATTATAATTAATTATAATTTGATCTGGGTTAAAATTATAATTTGGTCCAGGCTACGATTTGTATTTTGGTCCTATCTAAAACTTTATATTTTTGGTAAGAGATTTGGATAAGTTATATTAGGTTATCTGTTCAATTTTCACTTGTATAAAAAAAATATTTAACAAAATTATAATTCTTCTTAGTACTGCCTGCTCGGATGCTCTATATTTAATATAATTTAAATAGGGAGAGTTATATTTACAATTTTTTTGTTTATAAACTCTTACAAACTACACAATGTACTCCCGAAAATACACTAGGTAACACTATGTACTTCCGAGAGTATATAATATAATTTGCAAAAAAAATTATAAATAAATCCTTTCTCAATTTAAATATATTATGATATGAACTAATTAAAGTTATGAAAAATAAATACACGTAAAATTTTTTTGGCCCGGGCTCAAATTTGAGCCTGACTCCGCCACTGATTCAATCTTTTATATTATTTTTTAATTGAGTTATGACGTATGACAATTTTATCAAAAAAAAATTCTATTTTTTGAATTAAAATACTTTCGTTTGTAGTTATCAGTTTTTTTAAATTGAGTTCTGATTATTTAATTGAAGGGACAAAAAACAGGATAGCATATTTTGATTTCTCATATAATATTGTTCATTCATCTACTTTTCGCTCCAAGCAAACTTGATAATGAAAAAAATAAAAACCTAAAAGTAAAAAAATTGTAAAGATATATATTTAAAAAAAAAAAAAGTAGTAGGATCATCTCAATTTTTTCGCCCATCGTTTTTCCTTCCTCAGTCATACTAAACCTAAGTCCTTAATCTTCTCACATCCTTGCTATTTTTATATTGTTAGGCTGTGCTGGCTCTGTTTGGTTCAAATATCTTACCCACTTGGTAGCAAGTGGTTCTGACTATTTCTTGATGTTGATGCAAATTTGTTGTGAAGAAAATTCGAAACTAAAATATTTTGCTTTTATTTCTCATTTTGTAACCCTTTGTTTAAGCTAATGGAAGCCACATAGCTGGTACATTAATACTACAAGATAATTTAAATAGGCTGAAAATGAGCCAATCCGTGAGCAATTTTCAAGCCAACCCGCGAGCTATTTTTTCAAGCCAACCCACAACATATTTTTGAGCCAACCCTAACTCGACTCGGGTTGGTTGAATTTTCTGGCTCATTTTTTTTCTCTCGAGTCAACCCAAATCCTGTTCTTTTTTTTGGGTTGAATACGGATTGGGCTGGATTGACCCGTTTTGTCAACCCTAGAGACAAACCAGGGAGAAAATGTGATGTGTGCACAGAAGAAAGAGAAATTTTTTTTTAATCCAAGTGTCATATTGTAAATGGAAGGAGCATATTCTCTTGGAGACAAAAAGTTTTCTCACATTATAAATAGAAGTGGAGGGAGCAACTTGTTGAAAATATCTATTGTACATCTGATGTAACTTGCATTTGGTGCAACCAACCAATGAAAATGAAAGATTACTTGTGATATCTGTATGGAGTACAAAACAAAATAATTTTTTAGTTCGCATGTCAATTTGTGAATGGGAGATATACATGGGATGGATATATACAAGATGATCTCCAACTTCTCCCCCTGATGGAAAAGTTTGGTATGATTGAGTGACTCCACAGACGGAATGTTTGACTGTTGCTAATGCTATGCATGTATAAATCTCGCTCAGTCACGTCACTCTGTCTTTTTGTCATGATTCCAAAGCACATCCATATTCTAAGGATTACGGGGATGTTTGGTACACGAAAAAATTTTATTTGTCAGAGAATTTCAATTTTTAAATATAATTATTACATTCAATTTATGATAATATCCAAAAATTAAGTTTGCTGGATATTTCAAAAAATCCCGCGTACCAAACGCCCCCAAAGTGTATTTGTATCTAACACTAACATAAACACAATTTTTTTTCTTTCTTCATTTAAATAAGGAATGGTGGTGCAATGCGATGTGAATGTGATGCCAATGCCATTATGCCAAATGCCAATGTTTTTTTATTGTTCGGGTTCCGCATAGTAGGTAGTTGTTCTCAGAAAAGCACCGACAAAAGTGGTGGAGACAAGAAAGTAAAAGTCCCGGGTGATACGGAGAGCGGTGGCGGCGTCCTAGAATTCACGCCTGCCCCCCATTCTATTTCTAGCCTTGGACTTCTTAATTCCCATCCTAAGTTCCTAACCATATACTGACCCTTTTTCTTTCTTCCTTTCATGAAACAGTACCCCTAATATATATGCTTGGACAATTACAAAAAAACACAGGAATCTAGCTAAAGGCAAAGCGCTTTTACCAATCTTAATTTTACCTTTAAAATCATTCATACACCGAAACTTTTTCTGTTGGTTTTAACTTCTGAATAACCGAACCAAACTAACCACAAAATTTTATTTCAGAATATGTTTATAATGCACCAAAAAATAAAAAAAACAAATCAAACGAATATTTCTGCATTTTGACATCAGAATTTGGTTAAATGTTAAATTGTACACACCTTCTTAAATGCCCGTGCGGCTTAATTAGAAGCAGAATTAGTTCTTAGCTGTTTGGTGGCTAGCTGCCTAACATGTACACTTAACAGCTTCAGTCCAAAACACCTAGAAGTTAGAGCAGGCAAACCCCTAGTGCCATGTTTCAAGAGACAAAAAATGACACTCGTGAATAGTAGGACATCCTCGGCAATTGTAGAAAGTGCACGGAAGAATGTGGTCTCTGTCTTTTCTAGACTACCAGTCTTGTATTATTGTATTGCAATATTAGTATTTAAGGATCATGCACTTTTTTTATTAAAAAAAACAAACAAACACACTATCCGTTATATCAAGTATATCACACATATATATATAGACACATCCGTTTATAAATTTTTTTTAATTTTTTTACAATTTATACTGTATTCTCCCGGGAGAACATAGTGTAGTTTGTATTCTTCCGGGAGAAGATAGTGTAGTTTGTAAACAAAAAAGTTTGTAAATATAACATGCCCCATATATATATGTAGAGGTAGGATCCTTTGACACTGGTGTCAAATTTGAAATTTGACACCTCATCTGATAGCCGTTAGATCAAAAAAGATCAATGGTGTCACATGCTTACAAATCAGAGTCGTTGATCTTTTTTTATCTAACGGCTATCAGATGAGGTGTCAAATTTTAAATTTAACACCGGTGTCAAAGGATCTTACCTCATATATATATATATATATATATATATAAGGGGCAGGATCATTTTACACCGGTGTAAGAATAATAAATCTTACACCAAATCTTAATCATTGATTTTCTACATCTAACGGTTAAGATTTATTAGGTCTCACTCATTAATTAATTTTTAATTCCCAATAAATCTCAACCATTGGATGCACAGAAATCAACGGTTAAGATTTGGTGTAAGATTTATTATTCTTACTCCAATGTAAGTTGATCCTATCCCTATATATATATATATATATATATATATATATATATATATATATATATAGCTCATTTAAATTTTTTATTAGTTTTTTAAGTAAAATTTTTAATTAAACTTTCACAATCAAGTTCTTTTAGTGTTTCTTTTTCTATTATTTATATGGAGCAGGTTAAATTTACAAAAAATTTTGTTTACAAACTATACTAAGTAGGACCGGTCCTACATTAATCACACAGTGTACGACCAGTCCTACTTAGTGTAATTGAAAAAAAAGTTTGTAAACGAATCATGTCCCTATTCATACCGCCATCCCATTGAAAATAAAGATTCAATGCAAATTAGGAAAGAAATTTGTTTAAAGATTTTAAATTGATAAAAAGATATATAGCTCTATACATGCTTAGGGGGGAAAAATCAGTCATTGGCACTCAATAAATACATTTACTAAGGACTCAAACTCATGAATCAATGAATTATCGTCGAAGCTCTTAAACCTGCTAAAAGAACATATAAACAGGAATCTTGTTGATCTTGAGGAGGATCATGGCCCTCCAAGATTTTTAATTTTTTTACTTTCACATTTTCTTAAATAAGATTTGTATAATTTGACTCTCCAATTAAGTTTCTTTTTCCATGCATTTTTTTTTCTATTTCCCTTTGCAGCATTTCCATATCAGAACAATCTCTTGAATCAAAATATTTCAGTCTCCAAAATTCAAATCTCAAGTTTCAAAAGAAAAAGAAGAGGAAGACGCTTATAAGCACCCATTGGAAGGGCAGTTACAAAAGACAGGAGCAAATGACGTAAAATAAGAAAAGCCAAGTTGCTTCCCATTGTGTCAGTCCTAAGTTGTTCCTCCAAATCTCTCAATTTGGTGGCTTTGTTGTCTTTAAATTTATACACCCACACCTTAAAAAAAAAAGATTCCTATGAACCTTATTAGTCAACTTAACTCAATGTCTCTGTCTGTATCTATTGCGATCACAGCCGTCCAACAGAGATCAAACAGTGTGTAACTTTGACTTTCATTTCCCTAGCCACTCCCTCAGACTTAAAAATATTACACCTCTGAACCGTTCTCTATGAACTTTAGCGGACAACCACTTCTTTTTAAAAACAAAATTTGGCTTAACTCACATGTCTTAGATAGAATTGGATCAATCTCATAAGTATGTTATCGAAGCACTAGGCATGAGAGATAAGATCTTGAAAATTACACAAACATACATAAAGGCAATATTTATGTATAACAGTATATAAAATTTAGAAGTAAGTGCACACTTTACTGAAAAACACATTATGTTGGGTCTATAAGAAGAAGATGAACTCGAGGAAATTAAAAATTTAACCAAGGAATCATATAAAATATAGTTTAACTACAATTAGTGAAACTTATATATGTTCGCTGCTCCAAGACCGAAACGTTGAACAGTGGCTGCATTTGCGCATGACTTTTTCTATTTCTTTATTAGCATAAAAAGAACATCAGTCTAAATGAAATCGATCAAGCCCACAACATATAATAGTTAAACCTCACGTTCCCTAAATTCAAAGCAGACAGAACGTAAATTATGCATAAGATCTGAGATCCCCACCAAAGCAATACAAAATAAAATAAAATAAAATAAAGACAAAGATTTTGACATTAGATTATTCAGTTATATGGTATTATATATATGCACACGGATTGGGATCTCTATGGTTCAGATAAACTGATCAGAGGTAAAGTTTTTTTGGTTCAGAGGCAGAGAATCATTGAAAGGCCCATTTGGAAGTGAAATATGGACGAGGGTATGTCAGGCTTTTGTATTAGATCTGGAAGTGTCCGTGATAAAAGTGGCAGCACTGGCACTAAGTGTGGGCGTTGGAATCCCACCACTGAACAGGTTAAACTTCTTACTGAACTCTTCAGGTCTGGGCTCCGTACACCAAGCACTGATCAGATTCAAAAAATCTCTACTCAGCTTAGCTTTTATGGTAAGATAGAGAGCAAGAATGTGTTCTATTGGTTTCAGAACCATAAGGCTAGGGAAAGACAGAAGCGTCGTAAGGTTTCCTTTGATAAGAAGGATGTTATTCGTAGAGAAAACTCTATCAATGCTTCCACACAAAGTAAGTACTATACTACTCTCTAACCATCAAATAGAACATTAATATTAATTAACTTTGATGATCTAATAATATGTTTTTGACACTTTTCCTTGTTTCAGGTCTTGCTGAGATGTATCAAGTTTCAGAGCCTGATAAGGTGATTGAGACTCTTCAACTGTTCCCCCTGAACTCCTATGGTGAATCAGAATCAGAGAACCTGAGAATGCATGCAAATGAAAAATGGGATAATATGATGTTTTCATACACAATGGGAGAACAAATGGAGCATCCGCCATTAGACCTGCGCTTGAGCTTTCTGTAAATTACGAGGTCTCAAATCTTTTCTATGGTGGTGGAAGAGAAGATCCTTTTTTTTTTTAATAAATTCATTGTTGTTACTTAGTGAACTTAGGTTTAGCATAAAAAGAAACATTTAGGGCTGTATCATGGAACGTTAACAAGAGAAATTTATGTAGCTTCAAGTTAATATTTACCTAGTGATCAATTTTAATTAGCTCCATCTAAAATATTATAAATGCCCGGACATGCTCCTTAAACTTGGTTTTATCTCACTGGGTATACTCTGTTGGATTGGATCATACTTTGATAGTTGAATATTATGATGGCTTGGGATTCTAATTCCCTTCCTCTCGTGACATGTCTCGCCTTGGAATGCAACAAGGTTTATATAATTACTTTACTGGTCTACGATTACAAATGAGTCAGACCTCGGGGCTGCTTCCATCTTGAATATCATGAACCATTTACTCATCACAAAAACCAACATATATACTTCAAAAAACAAGTATGGTATCTAACCAAGTTGAGAATGTCATTCATCGTTATTCTCAAATTAATCCTAGTCTTGTTCCAGAGATAGAGGGACTTGGATTAATTACGAACACCAGTGGTCTCACATGTAAGGTACCTAGCTAATCACGTGCAAGAGCAAAAAAATGTGACATAATCAGTTGACCGTAATTCAAGAGTGCAATCTCTCTCTCCTTTTTCATTTAGCATTTTACCCTTTAGTCTTCATCTGGCACTATTCCAAATCCAGATGCACCGTTGCTCCTTGCACATAATCTTCTGCTGAGTACTAACCGTAACGTATCAACTGTAGCAATCTTAGTTAACACCAACGTCATCCTCCATTAGCACATGTCAAGCGGAACTGGAGGAACTCATGGCTGGGACTATCACCAATATGTTAAATTAAATTAAACACATTAAATGAGTCTTACATCATGTTTTAACCAAAAATCTTAGAGCATCAGATTCATGATCCCCTCAAATGTAAACTCTACATTAGTACGCTCCCCTCAATGGAAGCTTCTCTGAATACTTTTAAGTCCAAGTGCTCATCCATGCCTAGGCATTACGGTTTCAGGCTCATTCCAGGGGCACAAGAGAGGGCGGAAGCGCAACAACCCGCCAACGGTCACGCACGCCAAGGGGAGCTATGTTGAGGGATTATAACCAATGACAAAGCTCCATCAACCATAACAAGTGAGTTCCACACCATATTCCAATCAAAAGCTATGGGTCCTCTCACTTGTATCAACTAATTAATATTGAATTTCGTTACACTTGAATATTCCTAATACTATATAATTACATTATTCTATTTCAAAAATAAAAAGGAAAAATAGTTATTCTGTTAAATGACAGAATATTATGTTATTTGAAGTGAATCAGTAGTATTTTCACTGTTTTACTTAATATTTAAATTATTATTTTTCATCAATAACCTTTCATTCTTCTCGCGATGATTTTTGTTTGTGTGATAAGCCCCTCTCAATATAATTATTTTATTTAAAATAAAATAATATGCTCTTTTTAAAAATGACTTAAACTATTCAACTTATAAAATTAAAAGGAATAATTATAAAAAAAATAAAAATAAAGGAAATATTATTTTCTCACTATGCACTTTTTTTACATCAAAACCAAACTATATACTGTTCTAAAATTATGTATAGTTAAAAAGTAATAAATATGCATTTTCTTTATTTTTAAAGAAAAGTGTGTATATGGCATTACTAATTTAGTCAAGCCCTTTACATTTCTAGTGCCCCGCCAGAACCTTGAGTCCTTGACCTAGCGACTGAAGATATTGAATTTGGCTGCGGAAGAATCAATATCGAGCCTCATTATAATTGAATCATTTTAATCAAATTTACATATGTTTTTTTTTTTTTTTTTTTGGTAAACAAAATTTACATATGTTATTTGCACATATAAAGTATTTTTATAGACTTTTTTAATTTTGTAATTTAGGGAAAGAGCAAGGAAGGGAACACTGAAAATTGAATTTAACAACAAACATTGTGACTTGTAAAGTCTACGAACTTTTGGCTGCATATCGTGAATATGGATTTCTGGGCCTAATGTCATTTGGGCTGAATGGGTGGGTAATATGATAGTCAAATTTGGTGGGTAAGGACAATGAACGGCCCAAAACGAAGAGAGAAGAAGCAGTTTGTGTTTCAGAAGAGGTGTTTGTGTTACAAAAGAGAATAAATTGTTGGGTCTTGAGAAGCAGAAGTTTGTGTTACAAACACCTACATCCATGAACAAATTGATATGGAATTCATGTCCTCTTTTGTAGGTGTTTGTATCTTGAGAAGAAGCAGTTTGTGTTACAAAAGAGAATAAATTGATAATCGTCAAACACATTCTCTGGGTCAATAGTGGACGCAGGGGTGTTCATTGTTGGGTCTGTGATGGGAAGGCAAGAAGGTGAGACACTAAAAATTCAAAGGTTATAATTTTTCCTATAGCTATTTGTGGTCATACACAGTCATAGATTCAAATATGTTACCTTTACTGATACAGGTTGACCAATGAGCAAAGAGCTGCTATTGCTGACTACTTTTGTGTATATAATAAGGTAGTATACTTTTGTAACGACCAGTGGATTTATCAATGTGTTTGTTGATTTCATATGCTGTCCAGGGTAATGAAAATAGTCGCAAGAAAGTTTCTTTGACGGGTGCCGCTCTTCATCCTTTCTTGGCGTAAGTCTTAATTGTTGGAATTAATGAACAATGATCTATTGGTTATGAATAAGAAGTGAGTTAATAAAGGAAAGAGAAGAGGGAAGTTGAAGAAGTGTGTGAGTTTTTAACAAAGTCTCACATTGGACAAATAGTAGGAAGTGTTAGAGTTTATAAACTCTCACCTCACTCTCCTAGATTGGCCCTTTGGGTCACTACACATTTTGTGGAGGGGAGGAGCTAGGTGGGCTTTCCTCTGCCACACGCGCGCCGCCACCGGCTAGTCCGGTTCGGTTCGTGTGTAATAAAAATAAATATTTTGTCCATAAGACACGGTGGGACACCTTCAGAAATTTATCCGATTTTTCTGCACTGAAACTCTGCCGGAATTTTTCTTCTCTTCCGGTTTGCATACTTTTGTTCATCTGGTTTTTTCTTCTCTTCCGGTTTGCATACTTTTGTTCATCCTCCAGTGTAGTTTCCTCTGGCAATTATTGTGTTCGTTTGGGCTGTTAATTGGTAGTGCCACCATTCTTCAGACGAAATCCGTTCTATCTTGGAAAACAAGTGTCCATCAACCTTAGGCATCAGTGAGGGGGAAAATTGTCTTAAGGAGACACGTTCTGTGGGCTCGGATTTAATTCCTAATTCTGCATTCATTCTTCATCTGTCTGTTCCATACTGCTGACAACAAGTAAGTCTGTTTTTTAATTTTTATAATTGCACAATGATAATTCTGATCATCTACCTCCTCTGCTTTATACATGGGTTCAAACCTCTTAGTGATTTAATATCACCCACTGTCTTCAATAACAATCTTAAGACAATTTGGTGTTTTGAACTTGTGATCAGTATATTCTGTTTTATTTTATATACTGTTTCTGTTTTATTTACTGTGTGATTAATCTGTGTTATTAATCTGTGTGATCAATTAATCTGTGTGATTAATTTCGAATTCTGTTTGTGTAACAGAAATGGCTACTGTGAGTACAAACAATTCCAATCTTATTGCCTCTGTTCCAATGCATGCTGATAATACTGAAAAACTGAATGGAACAAATTTCAAACGTTGGCAACAGAAATTGTTGTTCTATTTGACAAATCTGAGTCTGGACCGTTTCCTCAAGGAAGATGCTCATAAACTGAATGAGTGAGAAGAATTTGACAAGGAAAAGGTTACTGCCATTGATGCTTTTAAGCATTCTGACTTCCTTTGTAGGAACTATATTCTCAATGCTCTAGACAACTCATTGTATAATGTATACTGTACCCTGAAGACTAGTAAAGAACTTTGGGATAGTCTGGACAAGAAGTATAAAACTGAGGATACTGCCTTGAAGAAATTCACAGTTGGCAGATTCTTGGACTTCAAGATGCAAGACTCCAAATCTGTTGTGAGTCAAGTTGAGGAACTTCAAGTGATTGTGCATGAAATTCATGCAGAGGGAATGTCTCTTAGTGAGTCTTTCCAAGTTGCTCCTTTCATAGAAAAATTATCAAATTCTTGGAGAGACTTCAAGAATTATCTGAAGCATAAGTGCAAGGAACTGTCACTTGAAGATCTGGTTACAAGATTGAGAATAGAAGAAGACAATAAGATGTATGACAAAAGAAATGGCAACAATCCTATGATCTCTAAGGCTAATGTAGTCGAAGAGGGATCAAAGTCAAAGAAGAGAAAATATTCTGAAGATGGAAATGCCAAGCAAGGAAAGGGCAAGAAGTTCAAAGGAAACTGTTACAATTGTGGGAATCCTGGCCACCGTGCAAAGGATTGTAAGAAGGAACAAAAGAAAGATCAGAGGAAGCCACAAAAGTTCAATAAAAAAAGAAGAGCACTCAAGCCAATATGGTTGATATTGCTGATCAGGTTGAAGAACTGAATCTGGCAGCAGTGGTGATGGAGTGCAATCTGATAGGAGATTCTAAGTTATGGTGGGTGGACACTGGTGCCACCAGACATCTGTTCCAACAAGGGGATGTTCTCCTCCTACACTCCCACTGATAATGATGAGAAACTATATATGGGTAACTCATCTACTTCAAAAGTTGAAGGTGTGGGCAAAGTGGCTTTGAAGATGACATCTGGCAAGATAGTGACACTGAATGATGTGCTCCATGTGCCTGATATTCGCAAGAACTTAGTTTCTGGATCTCTGTTAAGCAAGAATGGCTTTAAACTTGTATTTGTTTCTGATAAGTTTGTACTTACTAAGAATGCTGTGTTTGTAGGAAAGGGCTACCTTAGTGAGGGCCTTTTCAAACTGAATGTGATGACTGTAAACAATTCCAATATTATTAATAATACTACTACTTCTGTTTA